GTGCAGTCCGTTTTGTCATCCGGGGTCGCTCGGACGACGTCGTCGACAATCGGGTCAAAAACGCGTCGAAATTCAAATTTCACATAATTTCGACCCGCGATCGATCGTCTCAAAAGGTTTACTCGAGCCCTCGACAAATAACAGTGCAAGCGATGCGAATTGTGGCGATCGGACGCGTCGACTCTCCGAATTGCGAAGTTTATGAGCGCGGTAGTGCGAATTATGCAAAAGGTCACCCTAAGGCTTAAAGGTCCTATAGGGAATCCCTTTTCGGTTTCCTCATGTTGGTTTCATCCTTCTAAGTGAGAATTCGACACCACGCGCGCGCAACCACAAAAGAGGACAGAAGTAAGTCGAACTTCTAACACGAGTCGGGTCCCATTTCTAAGGTTCTAAGATAGTCAAAGGGAGATCCCTAAGGCTAGATCCTGAACCCTAAGAGGAAGACTAGACCTCGCTAAAAATGAGGTCAGCACCACTGTATTCCATCTTACCCAACAAATTATTTTTCTCCCAGGAACTTCTGCAATTAACCTCCCTCCTAGCATATCCTTATACACAATAAAAAAACTCCAATCCCACCATCACAACCCATCTTGAAGCACCTTAGTTCCTTCAATACCATTCAAAAAAGCAAAACCTCCAAATTTTACACTTATGCATTCTTAATAGTCATCATCAACAATTGAATTGATAAATGTGCTATGAAGCATCTTGCTTAGGAAGATGTCAAACTGTGTCAATATAAATATGCCAAACCTTACACTGTCTTACAAATGTGTGAGGAGAGATTTTATGCATGTTTAGTTTTCAAAATGATTAAATTGTGTGAATATTGACATATTTTGTGATTATATAATCAACATGATTATGATGACCTCACAAGGAACTATCATGCTCCCATGCATTCGGGTTAGCGACTCGTGGAAACATTTTTTTAAATATCACAGCACCATATTTGATCATTTTTCATCATCAAATTGAAAAATGCCCACTGTGAAATGGACTCAGATGATTACTTGACACTTGTATGATCAAATCGAATGAATAGTTCTATGGACACCAATGACCATATAACACTCACATCATCGAGACAATCAATTTTTCACTGTTTAATCAAATATTATCATCAACTATCAATCGGCTTGTCAAATCAGACGATATACACCGTCAACGCAGTCTTGATGTCCGCTTCACATCATTGAATCAATGATAAGCACCATCAGATGGACAATGACATTTGCAATTCACCCTCACAAACAAATATATGCACCAATATCATCTTATCAATGAAATTATGAAAATAGAATTATACTGTAGATAATTTTGTGCTGAGACAATTCATTGTAGAGAATAAAGAAAGGGTCTTTCATATGATATTTATAAATATTGAGAAACTATATAAATCAAAAGCCATGAAAATTGATTTAGTGTGCAATACAACAACAAGAATAACAAGCAATTATTCCACTAAGTTGGGTCGGCTATAAGAATCCTTTTTCTCCATTGTGACATATTGAGTGTCATATTTTCATTTAATTTTAATAAACTGAGATCGTTTTTTATACAACTTGCCCAAGTCTTTTAGGTCTACCTCTACCTGTTTTAGCATAAGTCAAATCTAAAACATCTATTCTCCTAACAAGGTCATCAAATGGTTCACGTTTAATGTGATAAAATCATATAAGGTGACTCTCTCTAATCTTGTATCCCACTAGAACTACCACTCCAAACCTTTCACAGAAATATTGGTTTTGCATTTTACCTCTTAGTGTCAATCCACTTATCTAACTGTGCAATAAGAGAAAAAACATGTAAAAGATGTATTTATGTTATTGAAGAAATTGATGATAGAGAACTGAATGGTATTTAAAGCACTTAACGAGATGACCGGAATTTCCAATTATAGTAAGATTACATCAAAGTCTATTGTCACACCCACATTCTATTATTTTGATTACATGCATACGTATAAAAGATATATAAAATCATATTCTTGCACATATATTTTTCACGCATGATAGTTTCTAGAATCAATTTTACAAAAGAAAGTATAATTAACTTCAAACATTAAGTCGAAAAATTTAAATAAGGTGTCTTATGAATATTATGTGATAAGTAAATATCATAGAAATTTAACAAATAAATTTTATAAATCTGCAATCAAGTCGGCTGTATTATATGAATTAAAATTTTAAACTTAAATAAATTATTAATAGTAAAGGTTGAGTGAAGTAAAAAATAAGAAATTAAATAAATGTATACAAAAATAAAAATGATATTGGACAGATGATAAATGTGGCATTTATTCAAGATGAAATAAAAAATAAATTTAGTTAATTTGGACATACACAAGAAAGGGTAAAAATACAAACACAAGGAGGGTAAATAAAATTATTTACGAAGGATTAAAATGAAAAGGGCAATCAAAAAATTTACATGCATAGAAGAGCAAATGTGTAGAATAGTTTTAAAAGCTCATGTAATACTCAATAAGACAAATTTGGTGAAAGGATCCCCAAATAGTTAAAGATAATTCTAATAATGACGATGATGATGTTTCATTGCTTGAAATCTATTCAAAGGTGTAAAAAACTTTGCTTCAAAAGAGAGCTTTCTACCAAAAGACTTTGACAATTAGATATTATTTTAACTCGCTTTTGAAGCCTTAGCTCAGAATGCTTATATATACAAGAAAATTTCACAGTATTGAATAAACTAATGTTTTACGATAATTTCTAGCTATTACAATAGGACCTATCATTTTAGGTGACAATCCACAACAGAGAATTGGCTAACACGACATCAAATCTTCGAATAAAAATATAGACAGAAGCCACCTTATTGTGACAAAACATCCAGGGTAAGAATCTTGAGTAAAAACAAAAATTTAAAACATACACATGATTTATAATTCTGAAAAAAGGTATGTATCTTCACTAGATTCAAGCAAATCCATTCAACTTGAATTTGAGGTTGAGAAAAAACATAATAAAAGTAATATTACAAAAACAAACAAGATAAATTGTATACCTTAGATCATAGAAAGGGTTGTCCCATACATTGCAAAGCTAGCTTAAGTTTTTACTATTTTCATACATACAAAAAATTCTCAAAAAGAGCAATTAAATACATCTTTTTCTTCAATTTGTCTAGAATAATTTACATGCAAGAGAATACTAATTCACAAATATTATCAGTTAGTACCTGCTAAAAAGATTTGCAATAGCTTCACAGTCATGTGAATTGTAAAACCATATACCATTAACTTCTTGAGCAGCATTCCTGTACAACAAATATGGAATTTGGACTTCGTACTCAAAATCCCCCAAAAGATCCTCCACCAGATTCTCTGTTCATAGGTTGAAACTATATTAAATGTGCATCAATAAATATAGACTACTAAGAACAAAAAAGCACATATCATTGATAAGAAAGAAAAGTGCAACTTCTTTTCATCGTTGCATTCGTAATTCAAAACCTAAGGTTGTTCATAATCTGAGGGCAGGTTAGGATTCATGGTAATATTCCTCCACTTAGTTGCCTCTTCTACACTCATCCACGCAACCTCCCATAATCCACGGAACACCTCTTCCCCAGTCATTTCCCTGCCACTGTGCACTCTTCTCCTCCTCAAATCTATGTGCATCCCCTCCTGGCCACATTGGAACATAGATCTCCTTGCCAAACATGGCATAAACTCCCTATTGCTTACATCCTTTCTTAAATCAACAGCCCATGAGCACTATAACAGAGTTAGTATTATTTGTACAACCAAATTGCTTTATAGACGATCCACCAGCCATCCTCTACACTAATTTTCATCAATTATTCAACCACCTTGATGATGCTACAACTTCCTTATTTGATTCCATCACAACACACATTTCATATTTAGTTCATCTCCTCCACATTTCTTTCATTCAATCGAGAACAGTGTATATTCACAATATTCTCTATTATACAGTATGACTTTTAACTTCAATAAAAATTACAACATAATTTGTGATCATCAAAATTCAAGGGCAAGTACTTTTTTAGTTCTTTGTTAATGATAGTTTGTTATAACCTTTCGACCATTTTATATTTTTGATAAATTATGTCTTAATACCATATTTTGAGAGCTTAAATCAAGATTTATCCTAATTTGGGTCCATATCAAGCAAGAAAATAATAATGTCATAAAAAATTTAATATTTGATAGAGCTCAAGATTATTTTCAATGTCTCATATTGAAAACTGTTAGAAGGAAAAAAAACTTGACTAATTTCTCAGAAGAATTTGTGCCTATATATAGGTAAAAATTGAATAATAAAAAAATTAATAGTGAGAATACTCTCAATTAAGAGAATATATTATATAATAAATACAAAATATTCTAATTACAAACTCTCCAATCTAGAAAATCTTTTACATAACATCCCCCCAAGCTAGAACAAATATCGTGAAGTTTCAGCTTACAATAGCTCGTTTCAACGCCTTCGTCAAAATATATTTTAATTGTTTTTCACTGGAGATATAAGAGCCAGTGATCTTTTAACAAAACGGTATCTCTGATGAATTAACAACTAACTTTAATACATTGTGTTCTTTAGTCAAAACATGGCTATTAGCAATATCGATGTTGCCTTGCGTAAAAGGAACGTCAAATTCTTCAATAAAATTTTCTTATCCACATCATTCCACAAATGAAATGTGCTGCTGTATTGTCTTTGAATTCAATGCTAAAACCAGTCACAATATTTATTTTTATTATTTCTCCAAGAAACAAAATTTCCTCCCACCAAAATGTAATATCCTAAAATAGACTTCCAATGTTCAGCAGATCCATTATAATCAACATCAGAGAAGGCTTCGATTAAAATTGGTTGTGTTTTTGATACAGTCATTTTCACGTAGACCACTTAATATATTTTATAATCCTTAAAACAAAATACAAGTACTTCCTCTTTAAGCTTTGCATATGTTATCACGTCAACAAAAAAAAAAGAAATATCAAACAAAGTAATAATTAGGTAGAAAAGCACACCAATCAAGTAATATAACTGAAAAATATCTTCATAACTTCCCTCATTCTTGGTATTTTGTATAGAAACGATGGTAGAATTAGATGGTAAGCACCCAAAATAATAATAATTTCCTCAAATAGGTCTATGGGAATGAGAGAAGCCATAATTTTCATACACAATGTCGATAAAATATTTCAGACACGCCCATGTTTTTTTGTAACAAATGCCTTTCAAAGGTATCATTTAATTTTATTAATACTTGAAATATCATTTTCCATGAAAAGATACAGCAATTGCGCAAGGATCAATGTCCAAGAAGATGAATTGTGGACAAATATAGTGTGATCAATCATGCTACTTCAAAAATGTACTTTACGAGGGAACTTGCATAATTTATTAAAGAAGGCCAAGGGACTTTGTTTCAGGCATTCAAACCATAAATGAGTTTTTGAAGCATATATATTTTGCTCTCACCTCAGCAAAAAACTTGGAAGATTGCTCCACATAAATTACTTCAAAGTAACCTCATATACCAAAGTGTTGCTCAGTTCATTTGGACTAAAGGTAGCCCTTGATTAATGGCCAACAAAAGGCAAATAATTTTCAATCGAGCCACTAGAAAAAAACTCAAAACAATTAATCTCATGAACCTATGTTTATGTTTGGCAAACAAGAGGGATTTGCAGTAGTAAAAGGTACAATTTGGATTATACTTGATTGTGAAAATTCATTTGAAAAAATAGATTTTGACACCAACAAATGATGAAATCAAATCCATAGCATGCTGATAAAGCAAATCCCCCTATTTCAATATGCATTGCATGTTTTCAATTAATATTGATCAATATACATTGATATGTTTTCAATATACATTGATATGTTTTCAATATACTGGATTATGTTTTCAATATACATTGATATGTTTTCAATATACTGGATTATGTTTTCAATATACTGGATTATACTCTATTGTATGTTTTCATTATACATTCATATGTTATAGGAATAGAAAAAGAAGGGATAGAAAAAGTAAAATTACAAAATAAAAAAGACAATGATCAAAGGAAACAAGAATACATTAGGAGATGGGTCTCATGTTGTAACAGATAAATTGGGACATGGAGATCAGACGTTAATGATGTAGGTGGGTGCTCAATCATAGATGATGGAATGGTCAAGGGTATACTAAAGGGAGGTTGCCGAGGCCGACAAGAGAAAACTCATAGTGGAGCAAAAGCGAATACCGAACCAAAACATGGAATTGCAATATTAAGAGAAATTTATGCAGATAAAGAGACAAAATATAGAGCAATCAAAAAAGCTCATAGTTCAAGAATGCATGTTCAACTCACTCATTATGAAAGCAAACCAAGCTAAAGCAAATATTTTCAGCTCGATTTTAAAAAGACATACAAATAGACCCTTTTTTTTATTAGTTTGTGTATGTGCACATCTTAACACTAAAAGTTCTATTATTAATTACATGTTAGTCAGAGTCATTGAATTTTAATGATTGAGATCTACACGAAACCCCGTCACCATATAAAGTCAAGGTATTGTGCCAAAATCGTGATTCTTTTCTTCATCTCACTCCCTACCTCCCTCACATGTTGTCTCATCATAGTGCCAATTATTGATCCACACTAAGAGGTTGGGACATTTTTCACCTCAGCGAGCCTTTATCTCTGCTATTTTCCCTCTAGTGTCCATTTGAATCTTTTTTGCTCTTAGCCTCCCTATGTACCCAAACTTAGTGCTCCCTATAGCTCCACATTTAAATCATAAACCTTTTTGTCACTACTATTCGATTTTTGGATAGGGGAAATCTGACTTTGCCTATAGTTTTTATAATTTATAACACATTTACGAAGTTATTTGGACTCATGAATTGTGCTAGATTGCTACTTAAATAAAGGAAATTGCATTCCTGTGTGTTATTTCAACCTCTAATTTGATACATGTTAAGTTTTTACATTTAGGCATTTCTATAAGTTTTCCTTAATTCTCTTCGAAATATTGCAGTGTATATCTCAAATACCTCATTTTATATGCTTTGTGTTGCTTCTACCTCAATATTTAGAGTTTTTTTTTTTTTGAATTCTCTTGAGATGATACATGTTAATTTTTTTCATTTAGACATTTCTCTAAGGTTTCCCTCAAGCAAAAACTTTATTGAAATCTAAAAACTTTAGATTTGAATAAAAAAACTTAGAACTCAAAAATTTGCTTGTGAAAATTGATTCTCTATTTTACTTTTACCTTTGAATTAAATTTTTTTTTTTCAATTTATATTGAAATTTTTTTGGGGGATAAGCAAAAATTTAATTGTGATATTTAATTTTATTTCTTGTAATATATGTTTATATGAACATTTATGCAGGCATTGTAGCAATCTTCAGTTAGGTCATTCAAATTTAGATGTTTCCTGCATTTCATAATTTACAGAGATATTTATGATATTTATGAAAATCTAAGAAGAGCTTGTGGAAGACTTGATTTGGACAACTTAGGAAACCCTTGAGTATGTTTATTCCCTTCCTATTCTATATTATTTTATTTTTATTTCAGAGGTACTTCCTTCCTAATTTAGGTTAGATATATTTGTTAAGTTCATAAATTATGAGAGATTGTTTTCTCTGTATATAGGTGCTAGGTTAGAAATATTTGGTAAGTTTGTAGATTAGGAGATAATGTTTTCACTATATATATGCACCCTACATATGAATAAAATAATGAAAAGAGAATTGTTTCTCTCCAAATCAGATCTCTACATGATAAGAGAGCTTAGATCAAACCTAAGTTAGCCTTCTTCTTGTCGAAAAACTCCCACTCCAGAAAACTCCTTCCCAGCAGTCGAACCTCCCCTGCACGGCCGCAGGAAACTTCTTCCCTACCTACACAGTACCAAGTCCTGTCAGACCTCCTCCTCTTACATCTTGAGTTTTCCTCTTTTTCCTAGTGGATCTCATTTGTGCAGTCAACCTGCCAATCGGATCTCATACAGCTGGTCGCATCTCCGAACTGCAAAACCTCTGCAGATTTGTTGTTCCTTCTCGTAGTAGCAAGTTCTTCATCGGAACTCTTCTTCTAGCGCTATTTCCCTATAGCCGACGTTTCTCCGCAAGATTAGAATAGCCCGGAAACTCTGGAGAGAATGACACAAATTTATTTTCTCTTTACCGTCTGGTTGAAATAGCTTTCTCTCACCAGTGCAAATCACATTCTCTCTCTAGTAGAAATCATTTGTATCTATGCGACAAGCAGAAGCAGTTGGAACTCTCCCCACCTTGTTTTTCCCAAGCAACATCCATTTATCCCTGCAAGTCGTACCCTATAGCTTTCT